TATAGATAGATAGAAGATAGATAGATAGATATATATATATATATATGTGTGTGTGTGTGTGTGTGTGTGATTCAAGGTTTGGGGTTAAAGGGTTTAGGGCTTACAGCTATATGTATACATACGCATATTATAAAGACACTTGTGCATATATACAATTTAAATATATACACACATACACATACGCAGGTGCATATCCCTGCTTCATCTCGTTCATGAACTTTAAAACACACACACACACACATTCATTTATTTGCACATTTTTTGTAACGGGGTTATCACTTATAAGTGATAACCCCGTTACAAAAACACTATAGATTGTCTACGTCATACAAAACATGGTTTTTGTAGGGACATGTTAACATCAAACGCCTGTCAGGTCTCTCTGAGTTTGCTGCTCATCGAGATCCTGAACTGGGAGGCAGCCGCCGAAACTGTTAACATCACAAGCCTGTCAGGTCTCTCTGGATTTGCTGCTCGTCCTGAACTGGGAGGCAGCCGAAACATGAAAAGCCGAAGCTGTTCACATCACAAGCTTGTGAGGTCTCTCTGGATTTGCTGCTCGTATTGAACTGGGAGGCAGCCGAAGCATGAAACATGTGCTCAGGGTTGCAGGACTGTGGAAGAGATCGAAACAGTTTGAAAGACTACGCTGTGTGACATCTGTAGCTCGAGATTTTTTATTTTCCAACATCTCGAGAATTTTCACCGTCTGCTGCCATGCCGTCGATGAAGCGCCCGGCTGCCTCCGAGGGAAGCTCTGCCAGGAAGAGCTTGAGGGCCGAAGACTTGCAGTTGGTGGCCGCCGAAGGACAAGAGCTCGACGAGAAGATCGAGAACTTCAGGCAAAGCTCCGAGTGTGGATCCGGCACGCAAGCGGTGGATCAGTTCTTCAAGAACTTGACCACCAATGAACGGATGAGTATTTGGAAGAAGTTTGAGAGCGACCGGCACAGCACCCGGGCCAAGGCCAAGGAAGTCAACGACGCCTTCGAGAACTTGAAGGGCAAAGGCTCGATGGATCAGAAGAGGTCCATGCTGAAAGCATGGCTGAAAGGCGGCTTGAAGGAGGCTGCCATCGTGGCCAGCCTGGAGTTTGAGAACACCACGACCAAGGCCGAGGAAGAGGAGTGGCTGCCCCTCCACAAAGCGAAGTCGCACTACGGCGAGTCCGAGCTCAAAGCTCGCCTGGAAGCAGGCGACTTGCTTCAATTTCGTGGGTCTGTGATCGTTTGCAGGGCTAAGTTTTAGATTTTGCAACATGTCGGCTTTATGTGCTTTCAACACGGAGGCACGCTGGAGTGGAGGAAGTGCAAAGACGACAAGAGGTTCATCGAAGTCCGGAAGGTGAAAGAAACCCGGAAGAGAGAATCAACGAGTCGCCATCGCATGTCGGCTACGGGAACTGGGAAGCTTCAGAGCCCCGGGCTTTTGGCAAACCTTCTTTCGGAGAGCGAAAGCGAGGAGAAGAACATGCCGGAGGACTTGGAAAAGTTGCTGGGTGTGAAGAATAAGGAGAAGGAGAAGGACCAGAAAGCCTTGAAGGAAAAGGAGAAGGAGCAGAAGGCCTTGAAGGACAGGGAGAAGGAGCACGAGAAAGCCTTGCAGGCCTGCGACTCGGCGAGTGTCGCTTTGGACGAGACGGACAAGGAGAAGGCCTTCACGAAGCTCAGCACGGCGATGAAGTACGCCAGTGCCACCCACGACAAGATCGAGCAGAAGATCCAATTCGGCAAGATGTCTTCAGAGATGAAGGGGATGGGGTCAAAGATCATGAAGTCCCTTCGGGCCGTCACGAAGGATTTGCTGCCTTTGAAAAGCAAGCTGAAAAGCGCCAGCACAGCGACCAAGGCGAAGAAGCTGTGCCTCCAGATGGCCAAGTTGATCAAAGACGGCGAGAAGTGGATCAGCGAGATCCCCGCCGACAAGTGAGTGTGGCGAGATTTGTTATCTCCACCGCTTGGCCAGCTCGATCGCTGACCAAGCTTCGCTGGATATATCCTGTATACAGTTTTGATGTTTTGCTCCTGCCGCAGGAAACGACAGACTAGAGCCTCGCTCACGCTTTTGCTTGAAAATGCCGCATGACATGCACAGTGGAAGGATAACGCCGGCACTGCCCCATGTTTGGGATAGTAGACTTGACAGGCCAACTTCCACGCCAACTTCCAGGCCGAAGTCTTTGTGCCGACTCTGGTGCTTCATAAAAAAAGTGGTTGACGGACCGAGTGCCTTTTGCAATGCCTGCAAGCCTGGAAGCAGCTCCTCAAGCTCGTTGTTGAGTAGCTCAAAACCGACAATGCCTGGATATAGGCAGGCTTTAGACCTGCAAGCCCATGGGCCTGGAGAGGGCAGCGATGTCGAGCATGACATGCCTGCCGTAGTGCAGGAGCTTCTTCTTCTATGGTCTCTGGGCGAGATGTCTGCAGCTGCTGTCCAGCGACTGGCTCATTCTCTGGTGTTGGACGGCCAGAGACATGAAAAGATCCTGGAATTAGCAGCATTGGGGGCCTTTGGGCAGCAGCCAGGCAATGTGAGCAGGGACTTGCTTACCAGATATAGTGGAGATATCAGGGTATGCAACAGCACCAAACTCCAGGTGCCGTGTTTAGACCCCAAGTCCAACCCCAAGTTGAGCAGAGAAGAAACATCGTTGTTGCTGCCTCACGACCTTTTCGTCTCTTTAGCCGCCGAGTATAATGATACGTTCCAAGCGATCATGGGGCTAGATAAAATACCCGATTTTTGGAAGCAAGTTCGCCGTGACGATTGGCATTGGACTTCGGAGTACCGACAGGCCGATTTCTCCAACCCTTACTGCATACCGCTCTGGCTGCACGGAGATGGTGTCGAGTACGCAGACAAAAGAAGTGCCATGGTTCTCAGTTGGGGAAGTTTGACTTGCTTGGGCTTTGCCCCAACAGTGTCAGCCTTGTTCGCTTGTTGCTTTGCTAAGCAGGCCACAAACAAGGATGAAGATCCGGATGGTGTGGAGGATACATTTTTGCCTCTGTGGCAACAGCTGAAGTGGTCTTTCGAGGCTCTCCTGCAAGGGGATCACCCGTCCAGGGATCACAACGGTGACCGTTTTCCTCCAGGGAGTTATCGTGCCAAAATGGCTGGGAAACCATTGTTTCAGCCGGTGCCAGACGGACCCAAGTACAGAGCCTGCCTGTGGTCGATCGTCGGCGACTACGAATGGTTCAGTTTGGACTTGAAACTGCCACACTGGAATTCCAAGCAGATGTGTGGTTGGTGCAATGCTCGCAGAGATGACGATGCCAAACTTTGGAGCTGCTTCAAGCACAAAGGATGGAAGTCCAAAGGCATCAACGACTATGAAGCCAATCCTGTGTTCACGCAGCCCCACATTTTGTGTACTTTCCCATTCGTGCAATCGTTGAGTATATGCATTGATGTGCTGCACTGCATGGATCTAGGGGTCCTGGTGAGGTATGAAGGATCCGTTTTAAAGCATCTCATCTACCACGAGCTGCCGAGCGATGCCCGAACCAACCTTGACAGAGTCTGGGAGGCAATTCAAAATCGATACGAACCGAATTGCAAATCCAGGCTGACGACCCTGACTTTGGCCATGATCGTTCCCAAACCGAAATCGCCTCACGCATCCCACCCAGTATTGAAGCTCAAGGCGGCTGAGGCAAGGCATTTCTTGCCCCCGTTGACTAGCTGTTGTGAAGCATTGGGGCCGAAGACAAAGGTGCAGAAACTGAGGTTGCAAGGTTTGAAGCAGCTGTGTTCGTGGTATGAACTTTTGGACGAGATCGAGTTCGTGCCGAACGACGCACAAACCAGAAAACTGAAGTCTTTGCTGCACGGCTTTTTGATGGTCAATGAGGAGCTGTGTGAATGGGCCAGAGAGCAAGGTTTCAATATTTACGAACCAGTACCGAAGAATCATTATTCCTATCACCTCGCAGAGCTTGCGAAGTACATCTCACCCAAACGGGTCTGGAGCTACAAGCAAGAGTCTTTCATGGGGGTGATTGCAGGTGTGGCAAACTCGTGTTCCTTCGGCACGAAGCTTCCCAGGATTGGTTTCAAGATAACTGAGAAAATGAGATACCTCATGCACTTTCACTGGCAATTTGGCCGGGTACAGGACAATGAAGACTACAGTGTTGCCACTGCTGCAGCTGGAAGAGGTCGTGTCGCTGCCACGTACCGTGTTGCCTTTTTGTGTTTTGGTGGATCTGCAGTAGATGTATCAACGTTGGGCAGGTTGGATGACGGATCGCATCACAACCATCCTGAAGCATCTGGGCGATAACAGGGGCTGCAGAAGCCCCATGCGATTGGGCCGAAGAGGCCCACCGACAACAGGGGCTGCAGAAGCCCCATGCGATTGGGCCGAAGAGGCCCACCGACAGCAGGGGCTGCAGAAGCCCCAAGCGATTGGGCCGAAGAGGCCCACCGACAGCAGGGGCTGCATAAGCCCCATCCAAGATGAAGGGTTCAAAACATGCATATATATATATATATGCTTAATTCATATAATTTTCTATTGGTTTTGATGCTACTTTTCTATTGGTTTTTATGCTACTTTTCTATTGGTTCTTATAGTGGTTTCGCTTGGTTTCTTTAAGCATCCACGCTTGGTTTTGTGTTCCCGATTTTCTATTGGTTTTATGTCTGAAACCAATCGAATGCGCTCGAAATAAACCCAAACCAATCTCTATTGATATTTACAATCGATCTCGAAATTTTTCAATCGATCGATGCCCTGGGTATATATATATAGGGTTTAGGGTTTAGGGTTTAGGGTTAGGGTTTGAGGATTTAGGATTTGGGGATCGTTTGGGGTGGAGGGTTTATAGGGCTAGGTAATGAGTGTGTGTAGGTTATGGCGTCAGGATTGTAAGGCTTGGGGTTTGTGGATGGTATGTTTAGGGCTATCAGAAGCAAGAACAACGACCCACTCCGCTCAACCCCGCCCAGAAACAAAAAAACAACAACCACAATCCATTCCCCTCTGCCATTAGGATCGAGAAGAAGACGGCCGAAGCCATCGACGCGGAGGGTTGGATGCACTCCGGAGACAAGGCCAAGACTTCTAGACTTCTAGGACACGACGCCGTGTAGTTGGGGTGTAGGGGCTTAGGGGTTATTGCGCATAGACGTGTGCAGAGATATGTTCCCAGTCAAAAGAGTTCACATCGAGAAAGTGAAAAGTCTTTGGCCTTGCGAACTGAGCCAGGAAAGCTGTCTCTACCACGGTGAAGCATGGAGGTGCAACGGAGCCCCGAAGCCTTTCAGCCTCCACTTCAGGGCATGATGACCGCCTCGGGCATGCTGAAGATCACAGGGCGCTTCAAGGAGTTGAGCCCCGGCGCAGAGGAAGTCCAAACCCACCCAAAACGCTGTCGTGAATGTGGTTGCAGCCTCGACAGGCTGGACAATGCTTGTCTGCGAACCCGGTTAAGAGTTCCCAAGCAATAGGATCCAGTAGGACCCCTAGTCATAGTCAGAAGGAGGAACCCTTTCTTAATCGGGTTCCTACATTACCAACATCCCACCACTGCACTTGAGGATCATTGGAGATGGCGGAGAGAACATCGCACCGGTACCTATCGAGGACCCCTTGGACCATGCTTGAATGTACTGTAGCCTTCTGTCTGCGGATTTTGCAAACAGGAAGATCCTTCTGTCTTGCTTGTTTCTGTGGTCGAGTTTTGATAGTGAGGACCACATCAAAGCATCGTGCGACGGCATCAACGAGGCACCGAGTCATAGCCGCGGACTTGAAGCGTCGCATTGGGGGCTTGATGGGGTTTGGTGCTCTCCCATACCACCGAGCACGCGTCATGGAGGATCTTTTTGCAAGATAAGTAGAGACATGATTGGGTGTGTTCGTGTCCACCAGGAACTTAACTAGCCAAAGTACGGCAAGATGATGTTGAAGAAGCTACCGTCGATGAACGAACCACGATGGATTGGTGGTCCGCTGTGCTTCAATGCAGCATCATTCGCTGCAGGTAGGATGGCGGACTATGCAACTCCAGTTTACATGACATCCAAGGTCTACTCCCGAAGGCCTTCAAGCCCTAACCTTCAAGCTTGAAAGCTCTTGAAGGGGATCTGCAGCCCTTTCGGGGACGAAGTTTCAGCACGACAGACTCAACCCCAAGATCCACCTGAGCACTTGCAGGGTCTTAGGATTCACGGCTTCAGGATCACACAGTCACCCCCCAAAAAAGCAACCCCCAAAGCTCTGGTCTAATGCCTCGAAGGCCCCGACACTGTTTTGGGGTTTCAGGTCATGATGGTCGGAGACAAGCGAAAGTACAACGTCGCGCTCATCACGCTCAAGGCCTGCCTTCGTCTCGAGGCTTTGGGTAACAGCTACTTCTGGGTGAACATCGGGGCGTAAACAGTTCCCATCGGAGTATCCCATAGAGCTTCCGTACTATGACTATTAATGTTATTCTGATTATCATTGTTATCATTATTATTACTATTATTACTTTTGATACTATTATGCTTCGTATTATTGCTACTATTATTATTGCACATCATACATCCCCAAAACCCGCTAGCCCTATTCAGGGCCCTGTGGTATTGTGGGTAAGAGGACCACGAGGATGATGGGAATGGGCGGCACCAGTATGAGTATCATATCAGGACAACTTTCATGATGGTTCTGTGCCGGTGCCGCCAAAACCTGCTACCGCCACCACCGCGGCTTCTCAAAAGGCTGTTCAAGCTTGGAATTCGGCTCTTGCACCCGGTGTTTCTTGAGTGCCCCCACTCGGAAGCCTACAAGGATCGTTCAGGTGCAGACGAACACCACATTGTCAGATAACAGAGGTGGCCTAAATTGCGTCTGTCGACAACGCTTGGACTAACACTGACACTGCGCTACTTCGACGTTTTCTGGCACCTCCATGTTGCAGCTTCCTTCCTGTCCATCCTTCCAACATTTTTTTTTCCATCTGTTCTGTAATGGCATGTCTTGGTCTTGCATCGTGTTGCAGTTCCAGGCAGTGGGTGCGAACGGCGAAGTTCCCGGCACCGACGACCTGGATGCAGGGGCCAAGCGAGTGCCGCGCAGACCGCAAGTAGATGCAATCAGTGGTCCGCAGCTGTCCCACTAAAATCCACGCATGAGAACCTACTGTTCTCGGCGTCCGTGTATGGCTGCATATTGCGGATTTCGAGTTATTAGGGGTAGAGCTGACGCGGCCGCAGCACCAACCCTGCAGTCGCTTCGCACATGCCTCCCTGCGGCTGAACTGTTGCAGAACCGAGCAGTCGTGGAGTCCTGACCTGAAACTTTTTCCTTCTGCATGTGCAGTCGTCGTGCCTTCTCTCCAGTCATTGCTGGGATCATGGAGATCGTGTCCAGAGTCGGGGCTTTCGGCCTTAGATCAATTATTGCCCCTAGCCTGTGCACCTGCATGACGGTTATCAGTTCTCAACAGTCTCCTCATTTCGATAGTCATATTTTTGCCAGTATTGCTACCCATGTGGTCAACAAACTGGTACAACAGACCCGGAAACTGTAAGCCTGGCACCAGAAGTCTCAACCTGCAAGGAGGTCGACATGGTGTTATGTAGGAAGAGCCATGCCAATGCTTGAATGTTCTCGTCGTTGTGCTGTTTGAAAGGTCGTGAAGGTTTCAGTGGATCTACCCACATCTTGCATCATGCGAACGCGAAGATGTCCATGGAGACATATTTACATGCCTATGTAAACACCAGACCAAGCCCCCTAAACCCTAAACTAAGAACTCCCACAAACAGTTGCGGGGTGAGCAGAAGGCCCTCTGTAGCAGAGCCGGTGCAACAGAACGCACAAGACCCTATTAAACCTAAAACATCTGCACATCTGTGCAAATACCAGACCCGCAGCTTTTCAATAATTTGTACATATTTATACATAAAATACATGTTTATGTATATATGTATATATATATATACACATCTGTGTATGTACACATACAGATATGTACAGGGGTACATATCTACACATGTCCATATATATATATATATCTCTCTCTCTCTCTCTCTCTCTCTCTCTCTCTTCTCTCGATTCCTCCACTTCGCTCCACATCTCAGTATCTTTCATGAGGAACCCGGACGTCACCACCATCTCGGCAGCGCTGGATGACAAGGCTTCACGCGTGTTGTTGACGGTCGGTCAGGCTTTATTCGAGCATTCGGGATCGACAGGGGCAGCAGTTCCGTCCTCGTCCCTGCTTCAACGTTTCCGCGGATTTGACACGTCGGGGGTTATTGCAGCGGCACGGCTGCGCAACCAGGAATGCGCAAGCTAGCCCGCTTTGATCTGGTTTCCTGTGGCCCGTGGGTGTCAAGGTAATCAGGAGATTTTGTGTGTAGAAGTGAAAGGGGCAGCTCGACTCTGGGTGGGATCGTTGCTCTCAAACCAACGTAGGAGCAACCCTCAAAAGAATTGTAATACTCTTCGTTCGTAGCAGTAGCGTGTGATAATCCCAAGGGGTCCAAGTATCATTATGGTATATACGAAATACCCTTCTAACTATATACTATAATGATACCTGGACCCTTTGGGAATGACACAATCGTCGTAATGGTCGCAATGATCACACCTATTGTGAGAAAAGCCGTTGTGGATGCAGCGATGCAGAGGTCTGGATTGAGGCTGTGACGAAGGCGGTCACCTCCGCCAACAGCAACGGCGACCCGACAAGCATTGGGCGGTCTGAAGCCTGTATGCCTAGTCTATAAATTAGGGTACCTTTTCAGATCCTCAAAATAGTACTGCACCCGTGTGACAAGGACCCTAATTGGGACCCTTATCGAGAGAAATGCCCGAATCCACTGCAGTCACAGGAGTTGACATCGCATCCACAGAAGCTTCCCAGTGGTTTGAGACGCCACCAGATGTAAGTCTGGTTGCTGTCGTCGTTTGAGGCAGAGAGTCGCAAGTTCATGTCATGATGCAGTCACTTCCGAACTACAGAACCCTTATATAGAACTGTTATTAAGCCGGTTCTGGGCCGCCTCCCCATCGAAACGACGACCGAGGCAAGATCTGCCCCAACAATGCCTTCAAGGTCCAAAAGCTCCCTGGCTGATGCGCACGACTCCCAAGAGCCAGCGCACCCGCACGCGTGAGCCTAAGTAGCGCGACCTCGTTAGCAAGGAACAATGGTGCCACTCGTGCTATTGATTGTTACAGCGACTGAGTTAAATGTGTCTGTCTTCAGGGCAGGGAGAGGTTGCCAATCTAAAATGGGCTTAGGGTTTGGGTTCTGGGGTGTTGGGTTCAGGGGCAGGTTCTGCTTTTTTGTATGTGACTCTTGCAGGTCCCTGGGGCCAGCCGTGTCTTGTCGTGTTAGCTGCAACAGCAACTTGAGGCAACGAAAACGAAGTACTGCTGACCCCGTCCTGGAAGTCATGACCAAGTGTCCGAGTGTTCATCGTTTCCTCGCGTCCCTCTTGCTTGGCTGCACTCCTCTGTTCCCGGTTCCCAGAGATGCAGAGCAACTCGTCATGATATGGGAGTTTCCGAAAATAGGGGACCCTAATACAGTACTCTAAATAATGGGATCCTTACAATAAGGAACCCCAAAATAACGTACCCCTGTTTTCGGAAACTCCAATATGCTGGTACCTACTGGATCCATCCAAGCTGGAGGTTCATGATTTTGCCGACGAACTTCTCCGAAGAGCAGGGATTTCTAACACCCACGAAGCACCTTGGCTGCAAACTTCGCTTATAGACTTATAGATCCCTTATAGGAACCCTCATAGCCCCCTTTAAAGGAATCCTACTCTAATTGTGAAGGCCCCTACACGGAGCCTTGCCCTGTGTGAAAGGCCCATCCAGCTTCATTTCCTGGTACATCGCTCGTAAAGGTCTTACACCAGTCATACGTCAGCCTGCGCCTTCGACCACTCGTCCATAAACAGTAATATCAATACCTATAATAATGATCATAACACTACCTACAATAGTAGAAATGCTGGTAGTCTTACTGAAGCTACTAGTAGTAAGAAGACTAAACATCATGCACAGGAAGCTGAAGCGACCGATCGTGGAGAAGGCCTTCATCAAGCAGGTGGATCAGATGTACGCCTCGAAGGAAACGTATGTCCGTTACCAGCCGTGAGTTCGGAGCTGCATAGCGATAACAGCCCGCTGTTACGCAACAAACTCGGTCTGCTGACTTGACAGAACCCTTGGCATGTTGCTATGTGGATTTGCGAGGTAGGGTAAGTGTGTCCAGCGGACCAACAACTGGTAAGCAGTGCAACTCTGACTCAGATTGCTCCCCGCACTGGCCCGTCATATCGACATGTCCGGTATCCCTTGCGGATACCTTAATTGCGAACGACTGCGGCTGCAGCTGCTGCTACCGTTGACACATGCCCATGAAACTAGGCTAGGCGGCTAGACTCTGGAGACAACGGACAACAGCTTCCTGCTCTTCCGAACTAGCTGCGGTTCCAGCTCTCGAAGTATCGGCATTTGTGTCCATGCAAAGGTTCATGGCACAGAAGAAGGTTTGCGAATACAGTACCTTCTTCTGTGACTCCCTTCAGCTGCGTGAGCTTCAAGCTCCAAGTCCCGAAACGCAGGCCTGGCAGCTTAGCATGCTGTGGCAGGCGCAGCAAGCATAGTCTGTGCCTGCACCAGTCGTGCCAATCGTTTTAAGCGCCCGCGGGTATTTCTCAGAGAAGTTGAGGAGGTGGGAGACAGGTCGTATCATCGCACTGCCTCTGCACTTGCGAATCGTTCTTTCCACAAGTACAAGAGAAGCATTGGTTGAGTACAACTCTGAGCCAAGTTGCTTCTACCTCCTGGCAGTGTCTGGCGGCTGTTCGCGCGGTCCTCCTAAGGAGCAGCGATATGTCAGAGAGTATGTGTGCATGTGTACGAATATGTACTGTTAGACGAATCTAGCTAAATAGGAGTTTAGATATAAGCACATGAATACACAAATACATTTATACATACGTACATAGACATAGATATTACCGAACAAACAACTATAGCTGCAACCACACATAGTTCGTATATATGTATATATATATATATATGTATGTATTTCTATATATATGTATATATATATATATGTATATATATATATAGAGAGAGAGAGAGAGACAGAGAGAGAGAGAGAGAGAGAGAGAGAGATAGATGGAGAGTGTAACACATTTTGTCGTTTTCTGTGTGTATATATATATACACATATGCATCTAGGTATCCACATATATACATAAAAAAGGATACATAGGTATATAGTTATTGATTCAGGTACATATACATATACACATGCACATACCCATACATACGTAGTTACTTACATACATACATTTGATATGTTTGTATGTTTGTATATATACATATATATATATACATATATATATATATATACACACATATGCATGTACACGTGTATAGTTCTACGTACAGATGTTGCCGGCATGTGTACGCCTGGAGGCAGGTAGACAGGCAGGTCGGCAGGCAGGCATGTATGCATTTGTGTGTATGCCTGTCTGTTTTTCTGTCTCTGTTTCTGTCGCTCTCTCTCTCTCTCTCTCTCGCAGTCTTTCTCCGTCTCTTTCGCTCTCTCTGTGTCTCTCTCCGTCTCTCCCGTCCGTCCGTCCGTCGGTCTGTCGGTCTGTCGATCAGCTGTATTCACTGTGGGTCAGTGTGACTACATGCTTTGGGTGCCGTCTCGACATGAGCTGCTTACCGCGCTGGCCGAACTCCCGGGTGCTGGCCCGGGAGGTAGGCCGTGTCTCTGCGACAAACTCAGCCTACAAGCGGAAACAAAGTGGTCCTTTTGCATCACATGGTCTGCTTGAGGTTCAGAATTCACAAATTCACAGGTACCGAGTGTTTGGATTGCAAAGTACGGAGTTTCAGTTTTAGGGCTTAATAGGGCGTAAAATATCTGACAAGCTGTTCGGTTTTAAAGCGGGCTACAGATCTAAGGGGAAGTTGGTGGTTTGTTCTGATCGTATCATGGAAGACTCATACTGCACAACTAGTAACTAGGCCTACACAGTCAAGTTTGGGCAGGAACATGCGAGAACCTGGCAGCTTTCGACAGGCTTCGAAGAAACAACATATGCGAAGAGTATAGCATCACGGCGCCAGACGAGGTTTCTGCGATTCCAGGTGGCTTCGAAAGCATGGTGCCATATAACTCACAAAAAGTCTGTAGCAAGCACACATCGAACCGAACACGCGCAGAACGTTGGCAAGTATCAAGAATGCACAGTGTTGGCACAATGATGCTTGCGTCGGGGTTATCTCCTGAAGCCTGCTTTCGAGCGTAGTTCCTTCAACTGCACGCCGCTGTCCCAAATCATATCCTTCATGTGTCGAAGTGGGAAAATGTCTCTTGAGCCCTAAAGCTTGCCTAAAACCCCAAGCCGCTAGATGTCAGGGGTTCTTTTTACGATAGCTTAATATGCCCGAAACAACACCCTAGAGTTTCCAAGCAGGAGTACAACGCCGGTCGTATTACAGTATTGCATACTGACTACGCTCTACTCAATCCTGTGTTCCATTCCTCAACAGGAAGGCAACGACATCTCTTGCCGACAGGATTGCCAGAGATGGGGCCTGGCACCCTGCATTGCAACCACAGCACGAAATATTTGCTTGAAACGGTAGTCAGTGGCCAAAACACTTGAGCATGGCGCAATGGTCTTGGAGCTCGCCGCCTGTGGATCTTTGGCAGCCGGATTCTTCATTGCATTTTCCCAGAGAGGCACACACAGATATTTGTCGTGAGATGTAGCAAGAGGTCTTGCATCGCGTCGTTCCAGGCATGCCCTTGTCTCGTATTCAGACTGCCAGCAGAAACACCGAGGAAATGTGTGGCTGCTCTACCGCTGTCTCTTCGCAAGGCACATGCTCCTGCGATCTTAGTTGCATGTACTATGCAGGCATGTGTAAGGAGCGACTAGCAGCACTTTCGCTGAGACCTACATGCTAGGCACTACTATGCCTGGCAGCTTGAAAGCGCGGAAGACATCCAGGCAGGAGCGACAGGAATAAGCCTTTGATGGGAGCTTTTTCGATCATGGCTACAAGCCCGAGGCAGCCATTGCGACATTCATCCCCTCACCACAACTGGTCACAAACCAGTTGGAACGTGGTGGTAGTGTGTGCTGACAGGCCATGGTCCTGCCCTCCTTCCGCTGCCCCATCAGCCAAGAGGTCATGCGGGAGACTAGGCTGAAGTTTCACATAACAACTAGCTGCTACCTGGTGCTAGCCCTAAGTCGTTGTGCGCCGTCGAAAGTCGTAGCGAACCCACGCGGAAACGTATTATCAGCCTATGCAATACACTACTGTGATAGCATCTTGCATGCTTGTTTATGTAGGTTCACACTGGGGTTTCGTGTTTTCGTGCTATGACTGCTACTGATCTATGAGCGTCCACACTCGGGAACCGCACTTCAAACAGCCATTCCTATTTGCGCACGATCCGATTGTTGCAGGTGTTCCTGTGCTGTGAGAAGCGAGTGAATCATGGGGTGCATGGTCGAGTGTCGCTTGACATGGGCTGCTGGTGGAATCCGCGACCAGAGTTGTGCTTGACTGCGAGCTGGCTCAGTGTTGTCGCGGGGTCACTCCCCGATGTTTTGCGGAAGGTTGCATCCCAAGACTTGAAAACCCCGGCGTAAAGCACAAGGAGCCGGCCGCGCAGAAATGGACACAAGGTTCGCGGTTACGCAGGGCTCGGTTTCCTTGCAAGGCAAGTCCTCGTTGTTTGTACATATTCCCCAAACCAATCCAACCATGACGATGCTTAAGTACAATAAGACCTGCAAATGCAACTCTCATTCTTGCAACCTCTCCTCGCGCTCCATTTTCCCAAGTAGTAGGTTAAGGTGGATCCCATACCCCTGGTTTAACCCTAAACCCTACAAGCTCATAAGGAGCCCGTGGTCACCTCAGATGGTCAGACCTACGAGAGATGCAACATCGAGGCAGGACTAGGTCTGCTTTCCGAGAGTTTTGGCTTTTTGGGGTTTAGTGTATATAGGCCATAAGAATATAGTAGGAGCATTGGCAACATTTGTGTATATAAACACACACACACACACATATATATATTATATATATATATACACACATAAATTTCTTACATACACACATGTATACATATATACATATGTATATATACAGATAGACTGTATATATATATATATATATATATATATATGTATATATATATATATATATATATATATATGTGTGTCATACGCACATAAAAGCATGCGTGCATGCGTACATAAATGCATGATGCATACCTACATACATACATCATACAAAGACGTTAAACAAGTTTGTGTGTGTATACAATATCAAATCCGTATACATTGTTTTCATCCAGCCGAGCAAGTGAAAATACGTAGACACATTCTGCCGTTCTGCTGTATGTATGCAGATAGGATACATGGTTTTGGGTGCATACACAGTCTCGCATGCAAGTGTTTGTGCAAGAGACCTCGCGCAGAGGTTTTGACGGGCCCGTCTTTCTCCGATCTTACACCAGCTGCCACTACGACTTTAAAGCGTAAAGACCGCCTACACACTGGCAACCCCAAGCTCCGTAAAACCGGGAGACCCTGCTTCTTCCAGTTGGAAGGAAGACGTGTGTTTGGAGACATCACGAGTTAGACGTCCTGTCATGCGTGGACACCGATGCATCAGCAAAGACTTTGCCAGGAGTGGTTTCGCCAAGGATCTTGCACCTCGCCGCTCACGAATTTGTCACTTCGCTCAAAGGCCACGGCCACGCTTTGTGGGAAAAGGTAGCGGACATGGGAGCTTGACGCTATCGGGCTAAATGGTCCCGGTTTTAGACAATCGTTAGGTTGTTTCGGCTGCTGGACTAGCAACCAGCATTGAACATGCCATGTGCCGGCGCTGTTGGTTTCCCATGCCAACCCGTGCAGTTCTTTACGCTCGCATACTTACGGCGTTCATCACTGAGTCATCCAGAGCCAGCCGAACACAAAGCCCACTCGCAGATGCACATAAAGCCTCCAAAGCGGGGACACGCAGTGTTGTTCGTGGCCTGACGCCAGGAGCTGGTGCCAAACCTCGCACTGCGGCAGGTGCCCTGTGGGATTAATCATG